TATCTGCAGAAAAATGTGAAAAGTTTCAAAAAATATAATGCTGGTGAAGTTACTGGAGGCCCTATTTTGAAGGGCTCTGCAAGCACCACATGGCAGAGATAGCTAGTGGTCCCCCAATCTCAGATCTCCTCTTCTTATCTGGGATTAGAACCTGAGGCTTTCAGCTGAGCGCAAGGACACCCAGAAAAAATGGTGCAACCTTCACAGAGTGCGTTTTGACGATATCAAATTGAAAAACATTCATGAGCTTTGATTTGGCAATTAATCCCATTGCCTGGAATTTATCCCATGGCACAAGTGCACGTGTGTGTGCGTGTGTGTGTGTGTGTGTTTGTGTTGTGTAATGATGCAAGTATGAGGTTATTCCTGCAGCGTTTGTGATAGAAATAATCAAATGGCTATCAATAGAGGGCTGGTTAAATAAACTATACTTCATCCACACAATGGAACAATTCGTAGCCATTTAAAAGGTTGAGGCCACTCCTTATGTACTAATTGGAAAGATCTCCAGAGTGAACTGTTAAATGAAAAGAAAAAAGTAAAGTGGAGAGATGGAATTGGTGGCTGGTGAGCGGGAGGGAGAGAACTTTGCATCCGTGGAGTGTTGTAGAGCAGGCATCTGTTATCTATGGAAGCGGGGAGGGAGGATGATGAATGAATGAGGGATGTACTGAGTGTACACAGTTCTGGAATAGATATATTGTCAAGTAAACGAAGCAAGCTGCTGAATGATATACACAAGATGATCCTATTTATGTGAAAAACCTCACCAGTATATAAAATGATGTATCTCCATATCTGTATGTGTGAGGAAAAGGCCTGGAAGGGCCCAGGCTACACTGGCCACAGTAGCTCCTAGCCTCTTGGAGAGGAAGGGATCTGACAGAGGCAGCGGAATTTACAGTTTCGACACCTTACGATAAAGATTCTGCGTTCATTCATTGCTTATTTCAAAACAGAGTGTATTTCTTTTTTCCAAATGTGAATTTTATCTACTGTTGCCTAGTGGCCCAAGAGCTTCTGGAATCACAGGGCCCACATGCAGAGTCGGTCCGTAAGACAGCTCACTTTCACATCAGGTGGGAAATGGGGCGGGGCTAGAGGGTCTCTCAAAGGCTCCAAGATTCATTCACTCAGCGTGACAGAGAAACCACCACCCTCAAGGCTATGTGATGGCGAGTCGGGTGGGTGGAGGAGAGGGCAATGGCATGTCACGGTGGGAAGGTTCTCTCCAGGACCCATCTCGGCTCCATTCCAAGGAGGCCCAGGCCCAGGGATGAGGGAGACAGAGGTAGACAGACTTCAGCCTTGTTGAAGACCTTCCCAAGAGTCCGAGGCAGGTGTAATGGGGAAACATCAGAGTCAGTTTTCAAACTGAGACGCACTTCTCTAATCATGCTGCTCCCAAATGCCAGTTCTGTCTTGAGAGGGAGGGAGCCCCACATTGAGTGAAAGGTCACGGTCCTGGCTTAAGCAATTAGGGGCGGCTATAGGCAGATATTACTGGGTTCTAATCCTGGCTCAGACCCTTCCTGGCTGGGTAGTTCTGAACAAGTGCCTCCATCTTTCTGAGCCTTCGTTCCTGTAAAGTGGATGCTGAGCTCACAGTATTTTTGTGACATTGAAATGAAAACACAAATAAAGCACGTAGAGCTTAGCGTCGACCTGTTGCAGGGTCGGTGTCAGGAAATGATCACTACTATTGCTGCATTGCTATTATTATTCATAGCTGAAGACGCTTAAGTGCCACTGTGAGGAGTCTCATAAGTCTCCCCAGGGATGGCACTCCTTACCTATCAAGACTGTTCCACGTTATCATCCAAGATAAGACCTGGCAAATGCTGTGTGCCTTGAGCAGCAGGAGGCTGCCTGACTCTGGTCCGGGCCACACCAGTAGTCCAGGCTGCCTAGCCCCTAACCATCCTCAGAGCTTGGTGGTGGTGTGATCTGCTCCGGAGGGCTGGTGTGGTTGGTTCTTCTACAGAGGAGGGGGGTTTTTTGTCGGCCCTGCTGGAGTACTACCTGTTGGGTGGTATGGTGGGGGGCAGCCCCTGGTATCTACGCTGGGACGCAGGGGAAGCAGGGCAGATTACACCAAACACACACACGCAGCGACACCAACAAGGCCACACGAACGTTCCAGTGCCCGGCCGGATGCCTGGCCCGAGGGCAGCAGGCGACCTCGCCTCGCCTCGCCTCGCCCCGCCTTCCGCAGCCAGGCCCCTCCCGTGGGAGCGGAAGCGGCGGGCGGAGGGTGTCTGGGGTCAGAAGGATCAGCGGAAATTGAGGGGCGGCCCCGGGACTGGAGCGCGTGAGGCAAAGGTAAGGAGGGTGGGCCCCAGAGCGAAGAGACGGACCTGGGCTCTCGCCTCGCGGACCCCTCCAGTCTGCAGGTACAGCACACACCGTCCCCAGGCACAAAGCACACACGCGCACGGTACAGCCCGCAAAGCCGGGGCCACACGGGCGGCGCGCACCTGTGGGCCCCGCATCCCGCGCGCCGAGGCCTCGCTCCCACTCGCTCTGCGCCGCACCCCGCGCTCCGTCTGCGGCCCGCTCCCAGGGCACCCCAGCCTGGTGCTGGCGGTGTCCCCCGCACAGCCAGCCCCCGCCCAGGTGCCCAGCCCTCCGCACAGCTCTCACCATCCACGGACACACAGACGCTCAAGACCCACCGCCACCCCCCGCGGACCTCCGCAGCGTCCCCAGACGCCCCCACAAGTACACAGACCTCCAAAGCCCGCCGAGATCCCCTCACACACAAACGTCCCCTCGCCTAACCACACACGTCCCCTGCCCCACACTCACACAAAACAGACAACGGCACACCCTCCCCTCCAGGTGACAGCCCGACACCTCGGTCCCCGGCTCCTTCAGCCCGGCAGGTGCGCGGCCCCGCCCCAGCCCGACTCAACCACACTCGGGCCACCCTACGCCGTGCGGGGCCGCGTCACCTGAGACCCTGGGGGGACACTCGGCCCAAGGCGTCCCCAGGACGGCGGGTATGTTAAAAGTCGTGTGTGTGTAACACGCAGCAACACGCCGACTCTCAGAGGCCCCGGTGCCCGCGCTGCCCCAGCCGCCCCCTCCACCCGCCAGTCTCGGGACGGGTCCTCTCTCCTGCCCCCCGCGGGGTACCTTGTCCTGGTGTCCCTCGTGGGCCCTGGAGCTGCCGGCGATCAGAGCCGCCGGGGCACCCGCAGGTGGACCGGAACCCGCTCCGCTGCGGCTGAGCTCGGGATCCGATCCAGTCCCGGCCCCCGCCGGGTCCCCAGCCGCAGACGCGTGCGGAGCCGGCGCCGCTTCCGCCGCGGGTGTCTGGAGGGCGCCCGGCGCCGGCTCGGGCTCCCGGCCGGGTGATGCAAACCTAAGCTAATCAGCCGCAGCCTGATGTCCTCACGCCGGTGATTGCACCATCCCCCGCGCCCCGCCTCTGCGGGACGCCGCCCGAGCGCGGGCCTCGCCCCTCCGGCCGTCCGCCGGCCCCGCACCCTCCGTCGCCGCCCCGCTGGCGGTGCCAGGTCCCGACCCCTACCCGTCCCGCCCGGCGCCCGGAGTTCGAGTGCAGACCCAGCCGCGGACTCTTTCTATTACCTGGGAAAAAAACATTTCGCTTTTCTGAGCCTCAGTCCCC